CTGTTTTTTGGCAGAGCCGTGGATTGAACTCAGGCCCTTGTTCTTGCCAAGGAAGTGCTTATTCCACTGAGCCATCTCCCTGGCCCCAATATTGTGAATTTTTTTTTTCAAGTATATATAGATACACACATGTAGAGATGTAAAGTATTAGTGTTTTGCAAATATCTTCTAGCCTGGCTGATGTTTTCTCTTTGTCATGTGCTTTTCAGGCCAGACAGTTTTAATTTTAATTTTTAATATGTATTAATCTTTCCCTTTATGGTTTATATTTTATGTGTGCCAAGAAATCCTCCCTTACCTTTAATTAACAAACACAGCCTCTTTTTAAGTTTTCTGATCAACTTTTATTTGGAAATAACTTTATTTTTTATTTATTTATTTTTTAATTTTATTTCTTTATTTATGTGTGTGGGGGGGGGGCCAGCTCAGCCTACCAGGGGGCAGGGCTGGCTGGCATGTGGTGCTGGGGATTGAACCGCGGTCCCTGTGTTTTGCTAAGCTTGTTCTAAGTAGGTGCTTTAGACCACTGAGCCATCTCACCAGCCCCCTGGAAATAACTTTAAATGTAAAAATATCGCAAGAATAAAAATAATACAAAGAACTCCTTTGGCTCCACCTCTACAACTTCGCCTTCCACAACTTTTTAAAAAAACTTTTTCAGACAGGGTCTTGTCATGTAGCCCAGACTGGCCTTGAACTCACTATGTAGCCCAGGCTGGCCTTGAATTCTTGATCTTTCTCCTTCAGCCACTGGAGTGCTGGGGTTGCAGCCATGTGCCTCCAGAATAGGTGTCTTTGTATTCTTTACTCAGATTCACCTATTGTTAACATTTGCCTAATTTATTATTTGAAATATAATATTTACAAAATACTATGTATTATTTATATGTAGTATACTTGTCCTGCACTATGAGGGTAAATTGCATACATTCCAATACTTTGCCACAAAATACTTCAGTGTGCCTTTCTTATGAACAAGGTTAACATCTAACATAACTGCAGTACAGTAATTAACTTCATAAATTTATTTACTTTTCCCAACTATTATTTTATTTATATTACTATGCTTAAGTTGCATGGAAAAAGTCTGCCCCATTTCAGAAAGTTTCCAATGGACACCAGTTATGTGTGACAAGCAGCCAGGTATGGTGGCATCTTTGGGGCGTGACTGACAGGAAGAACAGACTCTGGTGTTAGGGTTCATCTCAGCAAGTCTATGGCCCACCGGCCAGCACAAACCATGCTGGCTCTGAGCCTTTAGAGCTGGGCACAGAATCACATTTCTTGTCTGAAGCTAGCAAATCAAGTGAAATATCATTTTTAAAAAAAGTTTTAAAAAGATGCCCACCTAAGTTTGAAAACCATGCTTTTGACATATTATTCTCCAAAATTTACATAAACATACTTTTTCACTCTAATAGTCCCAACTTTTTGGGGGGGGAGGTGGATCAGGCCACCCTGAGGGTGGGGCTGGTGAGGCATGTGGTGCCAGGGATTGAACTGAGGTCCCCTGCACCTTCCTAAGCTTGGCTAAGCAGGCACTTTAGACCTCTGAGCAATCTCATCTCACCGGACCCCTAATCCCAACTTTTTCTTCAGAGCCAACCACACAGGTGCAGGTAGATGATTCTGCCTCAAGATGTAAATCTTGGGGGGGGGAGTAAACAGTATAATATTCTCTCTACACACTGCAGTTGGATGGGAAGTTTTAAAAAAAATAATTTTTAGTACAAAATTGAAAAGAAAGAGAAAGATTTTATCTTAGATTCTCACAACCTCTTGTTCCGCAGTCATGAATCTGACTCTGATGCTAAGGTGACAGTGTTTAGCAGATTTTTGTTTTCAGTGAAGGAGACCTGGGAAAAGATGGATTTATCTCCTTTTTTCAAGAACTATTATATTGCACACGTTCCTCAAAACCCTCACTCTCTCGAACTAGAGTATGTTCCAGGATCACACAAACTTTCTTATAATGCTGGCAAACTCACAGATCATTCATTTGCTACCACAGTTCTTGTAGCTCCCATCTCAAACTATGTGGAAAATCCTGCCCATATGATAGCTGAGGTTCTAAAAACTCCAGTAAGTCTACTACTTTTCCAAAAATCACAAAGTTAGACCGAAGTTACTTCAGGTTTTCCATCTGTCAAGGAGATCGAGTGCTGGTGAGATGCTTGCTGCCAGCAGCTCTTCGCTCCTCAGCTGAGAGAAAGCCTAACGTCTTCAATTTGTATTTATAACTTCTATCAAATCTGTCCACATTCCAATTTTATCAGTTGCCATTTTTTGGTTGATATTGACATTATTTATAGCATTTCTCTAAAACTATAGGTTTAAAGTATTTTCCTACAGATTGCTTGAGTGGGGTAGTAGAGAGGGAGGGAAAGAGAGACCGAGAGATTAAAAGAGAAGATCAGAGAGAGAAAATGCAATTGTACAATTATAATTATACAATGGAGAAATAGGGTTACATTTTGATCAATTGGTCAAAATTAGCCAGTGAGGGGCAGATAGATATCTTGTGCCTCCAGAGGAAATAGCCTGAGATGACACCAAGGAAAACAATAATTATACAATGGTGGTTCTCTTCTAGCTCTAGGGAAATACTTTAAGGTTATAAACTTCCTGCTCCTCAACAAAATTTCCACTTCACTTTAGTATCTATGGATAATTCTAATCTGATCTAAAGTTCATGATGATTGAAAAATGAGTCGTTTAAAAAAAAAAAAAGGCTTTTCAGCCAGCTGTGGTGTGCACAACTATAGTCCCAACACTCTGGAGGGTGAGGCAGTAGGATTTGAGCTCAACTTGGACAGTTTAGTGTCTTAATGAGACCCCTATCTCAAAGTAAAAAAATTAAAAAATGGCAAGGATGTAGCTAAGTGTGAAGTCCCTGAGTTAAATTCCTCCTTTCAAAAAAGAGGAGGAAATGTAACTCTGCAAAGGCCCTAGGTAATCAATCCCTACTAAGACACTTTTTTTTTCCAGTACTGGAGATTGAACTCAGGACCTTGTGCTTGCCAGGCAGACACTTATTCTACTGAGCTATCTCCCTAGCTAAGACACTATTTTTAAAAAGTTGTTTTTTCCACTTGTAGGTCTTTAACCTGGGATTGATTTTGTGTATAGTGTGAGATTGAGATTAATTCTAACTTTACACCTGTCCCCACTAATCGGCTCCCAGCTTCCTGCCAAAGGGACAGACCCAGATCCCACCCAAGAAGAGAAGCACAGTAAGGGCCTAACGGCCACCTTTCATCCTGTACTAGCCTGCCCCTCCCTGCCTGATTAAGGAACCCTAATCAGCTTGGGGAGATTAAAGGCTCTGGCCTGCTGTTCCCACACACCCCCGCCCTGGGCAAGGTTGGCAGGAAGACAGAAGGGGGATCGACCCTGTGACCCCCTCACCCGGGCCGTGTGTCCGCCCAAGCCTTAGACTTTCCGGTGAGTGGCAAACACCCCTTTCCTTGGCCTCGGGTCCTGCATGAGGGCAGGCGGGGTCCTGGCATTCGTCCGGCAGCCCCCGAGGGCCCAGACGCAGGGAATAGGGGTGGAGGAGAGGATAAACAAGTTGGCAACTGTCAGTAAGTGAGGCCGAAGAGGATCTATAGGCTTCGTCCTTGGTGCCCATCAAGTCGCCCACGCCTGGGGAAGGGGCTTTGGAAGCGGCGACACCCCGAGGGTTGAGCAGATTGAGAAAGGTTGCGTGGATAGCCCTACAGGGGCAGGGCTCTCAGTTGTTCATCCTGCCGCGTCTGGGTTCGCAGAAGCCGGCAATGCCACTGCGCGCTCTCCGCGTGAGTGGGCTTCCGGATGCCCAGCTCCGTGCCCTTTTGCGGTGCACCAGCCCAGGCCTCCTGCAGGCCCTGCCCTGGCCGGGGCTGCTCCGGTTCCTCCTTCTGCTGCTCTTCCCGCCGCCCTTTGCCTTCTCCGCTGTGTTCAAAGTGGGAGTGCTGGGCCCCTGGACTTGCGACCCCATCTTCTCCCGGGCGCGTCCGGACCTGGCTGCGCGTCTGGCCGCCGCCCGTCTGAACCGTGACCTTGCCCTGCGAGGCGGCCAGCGTTTCGAGGTCACGCTGCTGCAGGAGCCGTGCCGGACGCCAGGGTCGCTGGGTGCTGTGTCCTCTGCGCTTTCCCGCGTCTCAGGCCTCGTGGGCCCCGTGAACCCTGCAGCCTGCCGGCCAGCAGAACTGCTAGCTCAAGAGGCTGGGGTTGCACTGGTGCCCTGGGGCTGTCCCGGGACGCTGACAGCCCGCACTACAGCCCCGGCTGTAACCCCTGCGGCGGATGCTCTTTACGTCCTGCTGCGAGGCTTCGGCTGGGCTCGCTTGGCCCTGGTTACCGCCCCCCAGGACCTGTGGGTGGAGGCGGGACGTGCTCTGTCCACCGCACTCAGAGCCCGGGGCCTGCCCGTTGCTCTGGTAACTTCCATGGAGACTTCGGATCTGTCTGGAGCTAGAGAGGCCCTGAGGAGAGTCCAGAACGGGCCTAGCGTCAGAGGTAGGCTCCCCTGCAGACCCGGGGGTTGGCATGCTCTGCTGCTAGCCCGTCGCAGCCCCGTGAGCCACACCTCTGTGTCTGCAGTAGTGATCATGGTGATGCATTCGGTGCTGCTGGGCGGCGAGGAGCAGCGCTACCTACTGGAAGCCGCGGAGGAGCTAGGCCTGGTGGATGGCTCCCTGGTCTTCCTGCCCTTCGACACCCTCCACTATGCCTTGTCCCCAGGCACAGAGGCCTTGGCTGTGATTGCCAACAGCTCCCAGCTTCGCAGGGCCCACGACGCTGTGCTCACCCTCACGCGCCACTGTCCTCCAGGAGGCAGCGTGCTGGACAGCCTGCGCAGGGCCCAAGAGCACCAGGAGCTGCCCCCTGATCTCAACCTACAACAGGTAGATGGACTGTGAAGGAGGGAAGAAGGCAGGAAGTAGCTGAATGAGGGAGAAGGCTGGAGTGAATAGGAACACAGCTATTCTGGAGTTCCTTGGGTCACATAGAGACTGGAGACTTATTTTTAGAGTACTGGGGTTAGCTCCAGAAAGTAGATAAGGAGGCCTCTTAAGCCCAGCTCCAAGGAGTACAATCTAAACTGTGTCATTTTCAGTCTGATATATATATATATATATATATATATATATATATATATATATATATATATATATAAATTCCTAGAACTACACCAATATACAGTCCACAATGAACAGCTGTTACCAAGAAGCAAGACAGAAAGGGGATACTGATCCAGCTTTCTGTCTCATTCAGAGGCATTTCCTCTGGGACCTCATCTGGTGGTTTTAACTTTTTGAGGGTCCTTGACATCTTGTAAGAACAGAAGGGTCCCTCTGTAGTGCTGGCAGCTCCCATCATTAGATCCAACATTTATTCCCACATCCAATACCCAGGATTGCCTCGATCCCCAGAATCCCAGGTCAGATCATCTATCTCCACCACAGTCACAAAGGGGGATTGGAAACCATTAATATAGAAACTGTACATCAATAGACAGGAAATTATCCACCAGAAAGGCTATATCCAAAGGGTTCTGCATAAGAGAAAGCTATATATCAAAGAGGTTTGAAATATTCCCTCCAATCTCCCAGATGTTTTGGGGTATCCAGTGAAGAGAGAAGATGGGAATAGTCAGTAAGAGAATATGAGTGGGACAGGATGGAAGGAGAGTCAGGCAGAGGAGGAAGAAGAGTAGAAAACATAGAAAGAAACTCTTTAGCTGCTCACCTCTAGGTGCTCAAGCCAGGTCCACAGGGCTCAGCCCAGTTTCTCTAAGTTTGTTCACACTCAGGCATCAAACTCTTTTACCTCAAGCCATTTGAATCCATCCCTTTTTTCCATTCTCATTATCACTACCTTGGTTTAGGCCACAGCACTTCTGACGCAAATACTAGAACATAATCTCCCAAATGCTCTTTGCTTCAACTCTCCCTTGGCCTGAGTCTTCCACAACGCCCCAAATCACCTTCAGAAATCTGACAAAACCTACCAATCATGTTCCTGTTAAAAGCCTCCCAGTAGCTGCTGAATGGCCTTTTGGAGCCTGGGTTGAAGGCACTGGTGACCCTATATGGACACAGGTCTCTTTACATAGGACTCGACTCTTCCTTTCTCTTTTTCCATGAGCTTCAACTAGCCTGGGCTACTTTGGGTTCCATAACGTTGTCCTCTTTTGCCTCCAAGTTGGTGATTGTGTACTTCCTTTTTTCTGCCCCATCATCCCTGGAAAATTCTGATTTTCCTGTGAGGGTGGTCATTATCTGAAATAATTCTCCTGTTTCTCCTGTCTGTGTTGGGGACCCTCATTCCTGTCCCCCACACTCCCCTCTCAGTTTCCTCTTCCTTCACACGCGGCATTGCTTTACTATCTGGGCCCATCTCCCCAACTAGACAAGAGTCCAGGAAAGCAGGGACACTAACTCATGTCTAAGGCTTCACAATGTGCCTGGGACTTTGAGAGGACATGGAAGCAGCACAGAGGCCCAATGAGATCAGGTGGTAACCTGGGGAGGGAGAGAGAAGATGAAAACCACCAAAATGAAGGGCTCTTAGGTGAATGGTAGGTCATAAAATTGGAAGAGTATACAGGACAACCAACTCAAAGGCAGAACTATAGATGATAGTACGAATCAATCAACTATAACCAAAGGAGCCCAATTTCTGAAAAGAGGTCCAGGGGGTAGGGACCGACTAAGTGGCATAGCCAATGGGAAGAAAGGAAGAGATAGCCAATGAGGAGAGAGGAAAGAGATAGCCAATGGGGAGAGAGGAAGAGATAACAAATGAAAAGACCCAATAGAGCGCGAAAGAGACAGTCGATGGATCGGGATATGGAGAAACACTATTAAATGAGAACAATCAGTAGCACAAGGCTTGAAGGACCCAGGGAACCAACAATTGGAGCCAGAGAATTCCCAACAGTTAGTGAGCTGGGGCTCCGAGCTGAGTCCTTTTTCTGTGCTTCTCCAGGTTTCCCCGCTCTTTGGCACCATCTACGATGCGATCTTCTTGTTGGCTGGGGGCGTGGTGGGAGCCCAGGCCTCCTCAGGTGGCGGCTGGGTGTCCGGAGCCTCCGTGGCTCGCCACATCCAGGATGCCCAAGTCCCTGGATTCTGCTGTGCCCTGGGAGGAACTGAAGAGCCCTCTTTTGTGTTGCTGGACACTGACGCGGCCGGAGACCGGCTGTTTGCCACACATATGCTGGACCCTGCCCGGGGCTTCCTAAACTCTGTAGGGAGCCCGGTGCACTTCCCTAGAGGTGGCTCTGGGCCTGAGCCAGATCCCTGGTGCTGGTTCGATCCAAATGTCATCTGCAATGGAGGTGAGGGCCAGTTCCCTGCTTCCACTGGAACAGTCAGCAAAGTTCATCCACAGTTATGAAAAAGAGTCATCTCTTGTCCTGTATTTCTTCTCGTGCCTTTCCAGGTCCTCCTTGGTTTGCACAGAATTCTTCTCTTGCAGAGTCCCCAGGCCCCTGGAAACCTTTGTAACATTTCCAAACTCCCCCTTGAGGAATCTGTGACCTTCCTCTACAGCCTGCCCCAGCTCCCATCCTTCCCCATTTCTCCAGGATTTGCAATGACCATCTTTCTCCCTGTAAGTGTGGGCCTTGCCCAACCAGTGGCCTGAGCATACCTCCTCTCATTGTTCCCTCAGGAGTGGAGCCTGGCCTCGTCTTTCTTGGCTTCCTCTTGGTGGTAGGGTTGGGGCTCAAGGGGGCCTTCCTGGCCCACTATATGAGGTGAGTAGGGGGACGAAGTACCTAGGAGGTGATCCTACCTCTCCACCTGCCAGAAATGAAATTATGCAGCAAAGACATCGGGCTGGGCCCACTCATGAGTGGAGGAGGGGAGGATTTTTCTTTGGAAGGGGAATAAAAATTTTGGAGGGTTGGTAGATTCCCGAGGGCATCTGCTTTCGGCATGCTGCCCCGTTCCCCTTCCCTGACCTAACACCATCCCTTCACCCCTGCTGTCTTCTTCTCATGGAACTTGTTCCCCTTTGTGGTAATGACCTTCTTCTTCTCACAAAAGGCACCGGCTTCTTCACAGTCAAATGGTCTCTGGTCCCAACAAGATCATCCTCACCCTGGACGACATCACCTTCCTCCAGCCACAAGGGGGCAGCTCTCGAAAGGTGGGGAAAACAGGGAGCTTTGACCTCGCAGTCTTCTCCCTGTATGTATAGTCCATCCCTTTCTTGAACCAACTCTTACCCCAGCCTCCCAATTGGGAATCTTGGTTTCTTCCTCCTTTCTTTCCTCATCCTAGCTTTTCAGATTAGCTTCATCTGTACAATGGTGGTGACAGCCTTTATGCTGACTACCTTCCTAGGGTGATATGAAGGTCCAACAAGAAAATGAATATGTTGGTGAAGTGTTGTGCCCTTGGGGAGTTAGGTCATTATTATGTTCCCTAATTGAAATTCCTTACTTTTTCCTTTTAAGTCTACATAACAGCCTGACCTCAATCCAGAATTCTAACCCTAGAACAGATTCTGACCCCTTGCATTGACCTCTGTCCCCTTAGGTGGTCCAGGGGAGCCGATCGAGTCTGGCTGCTCGCAGTGTGTCAGACATTCGCAGTGTTCCCAGCCAGCCCCTGGAAAGCTCCAACATGGGCCTTTATGAGGTGAGTCTGACCCAGAGCCAGTAGATTCTAGTCCAGTAGAAAGGGTAGAAAAGGAATGTGCAGACCCCAGGCAGCAAAGACACTCTCAAGGGAGGCATGCAGGCAGGTCAGATCCTGCAGGCTCCAGCCAAGGGGATGAGAGTCCAGGCAGGACCTATGGAAATGTCTTGGCTCCTTCAATCCTGACCTGATTCCACATTTGGAAATCCTCTGTGCTGTAGAATTTTCTCCCAGCCATGATCCAGCCAATAATTCCTCAAAGCCCTATCATGGTGACTCAGAAGCTGGTATGGCCACTAAGATCATGCCTGTGGGAGCTCCTGGACCCATCTCTTCAGCATTTCCACCCAATTCATATGAGTCTCAGGAAACATAGACCCTCAATCAAGAAGGAAGAAGAGGAGAAGGAGGAGGAGGAAGAGGAGGAGGAGGAGGAGACATTAGGACACTAATATGAGCCCAGCAAATCTGAATATGGTAGAATGGATGGCAGAAAATAAGAAGCGATTCAGAGAGAGCCTTGAGAGAGCTCAGCTGATCAAGAAGAGGGGGCATTTAGAGGTCCCAAGTTCCAGGTCATGGAGAGCAGCAGAAGTTCCTGCTAAGGCCCTAGAGAGCATCACGACCATTTCACAGGGAGCCCGATTGCCATTCTGTGGGGTTCTAAGCTTCTTGCCTTGTGGGAGTTTAGGAGACTGATTTCCTAATACCTATCCTCTGTGCTTCAGGGAGACTGGGTTTGGCTGAAGAAATTTCCAGGGGATCATCACACAGCTATTCGCTCAGCGACCAAGATAGCCTTCTCCAAGGTGAGAGTCCGGCTGTGATGGGGGGGGGGGCATCAGCTCCTTCCTTCTTGCCTCCTCTTTGCAGCAGGTATAGAGATGGTTTTTGTTAAGTCTTCCGCCCACTCTAGAGCAGATATCCCATTATTCTCTCCTGTGGTTCAAGTTCTTTCCTTTGATTTTTTTCACAACTTATTTGTGATAACCTACATGTTATTTCATCACATCACATGTTTGTTCAGCAATGGGATGGCTTATTTTTCTGCCTCCCTCACAGACTGCAAGCTGAGTGAGGACTTTGCTATGCTATTCCGACACCTAGCACTGGATCTGGAATATTAGAGACACTCAGTAAATATTTATTGAGTGAATGATAGCAAATAAATGAGTTTCCACTTCTGTCCAACCCCTAGTCATATCAACGCATACTGAATAAGAATCTTTTTTAAAAAAATACATTTAGTACAGGGTCTACAGAGTAAGGCATACTGAATAAAATTGAAAGTTGGCAAGGAGACAATAGGCCACTTATTCTGGTTATTTCAACCTTAATATCCCTCTTCCACCCAGTACCAGGCAGCCTTGGTCTGGCTCTCTTCCTGGAAGCTCCCTATAGGAGCTCTTAGGTGGACTCCCTTTAGAGGTCAACCCATTAATCTCTCTTTAGCACCATTCTCTGAAAATGGAAAGAAGCCCCTTACTAGGCATGTAGACCCAAAAAAACAAAAACAAAAACAAAAACAAACAAACAAACAAAAAACTAGAAAGTGTCAGTCAGGTGATTACTTCTTTTTCCATTGAGCAAGGGGACTCTGGCCTGCCGAGTGGGTGTGGCCTGGTTGGTGACCCCTCCATGACCATAACCTGACCACTCAGTCCAGTCTTTCCCTAACTTGAGGAGAGTGGAAGCCTCAGACAGACCTCTCACAGTGATTCAACAGCACCAAGCAAAGCAGTCCCCAGCCAAGCTGCAGGACAAGCCATGTCCCCTGCCTGCTGGAAGTCACAGAGCCCTGGTTCTCCTCACAGTCTGTCACCTCAACAGTGATGTGTTTTCCTGTGAGGTGGGAGCAGTTCAAGGATTTATTGCTAATAAATCAGATCCTGCCTGGGTCTTGATCACCAGGGCAAGATTAACTTTTTATTCATGTCTTTGAATTCCGTATTGGAACGGGGCCCTTGACTGTAGTATGTTGTCCAAAGATGTAAAAATCTGGAGAAGAGAGTCCTCCCACACACTCCATACCCTATGAGCCATTTCATTCGCCCATCTTCCCCCTTTGGGTACCGACATTGGAAGGCTAGAGGTGTGGTTCAGCAGTAGGGTGTTTGCTTACCATGTGCCAGGGCCCATCTTCAGTACAGGGAAAAAACCAAAAAACTCACGGAGGCATTGAACATCAGCCCCCTCCCTACCCAGCCACCAGGACGGAAAATGCCCATCTACTTTCCTTCTCAGCTCCTGGAGCTGCGGCATGAGAACGTGGCCCTTTACTTGGGGCTTTTCCTGGCGGGGACAGTGGACAGCCCCGCCACCCCTGGAGAGCGCATGCTGGCTGTGGTCTCCGAACACTGCGCGCGCGGCTCCCTCCACGACCTCCTCGCCCAGAGAGACATAAAGCTGGACTGGATGTTCAAGTCCTCCCTCCTGCTGGACCTTATCAAAGTGAGTGTTGGGGTGGATGGGGCGTCCTGTGGGTAGGGAGCAGGGGGCAGGAGGACCGCAGGGTCCGAGGCTGCCTCTTATCTCTCCCTTTTCTAGGGAATGAGGTATTTGCACCATCGCGGGGTGGCTCACGGGCGGCTTAAATCACGAAACTGTGTGGTGGACGGGAGATTCGTGCTGAAGGTCACCGACCATGGCCATGGGCGACTGCTGGAAGCGCAGAAGGTGTTACCCGAGCCTCCCAACGCGGAGGGTAGGAGTCCGGGCTGCCTGCGGAGCGCGCGGGCATCCCCACCATTCCTCCCTTCTTCCTTCCCTCCCTCCTCCTCTGTCCTTCCACATCCGCACAACTGCAGCTATGGAAAAGACCATTTGACCTGAGACACTCAGCGGGAAGGCTCGTGACCGGGAGGTGCCAGGAGTTGCTAGCTGGTGTACTTAGGTTTGGGGCTTGGTGGGGCCTTCCCTGCACCCCTGAGGGCGGGGCCTATTTGTGCCGGCGGGACTTTCTGGAAGGCAGCCTTGAATTTCAGTTAGTTTCTGCAGCACGTCCGTGGTTGGCAAGAGTCGAGGATGTGGGTTTTGTCGTGGGGATGGTGACCTGTCCCCAGCGCTCCCAATGCCCCCTCTACGAGCCCATGGCCCCTTCTGCATCCCCAGATCAGCTATGGACAGCCCCCGAGCTGCTTCGGGATCCGGCCCTGGAGCGCCGGGGAACTCTCGCGGGCGACGTCTTTAGCCTGAGCATCATTATGCAAGAGGTCGTGTGTCGCAGCGCCCCCTATGCCATGCTGGAGCTGACTCCTGAGGGTAAGGCGAGTTTGGGCTAGAGAGGCAACTTACAGTTAGGATAGAGCCAGGCTAGGCCCTGCCCTGCTCTTTTCTCTAAGCAAAACCCAGTGATGAGATGTAATTAAGTAGGGTACCCTTTAAAGCTCCCTGTCCTGAGAGCGGAAAGTCAAGCATCAAGTTGGGGTGGGGGAGGGGACCTGCCAGTTAGCTCAGTTGTTCAAACGCCTACAGTCAGGCGCAGGAAGTCCCATCCGATTCAAATCCAATCTGATCACTCACCTGTAGGACTCTGAACAAGCTATTTGACCACCCCAGACCTCACTTTTCTTACATACAATAAATGTTAGTTCTTTGTGTCATTCTATTGACCCCTGGGGTTCAGGGTCTTCTTGTACTCCTAGTGACCCCTTCACACACTATCCTCCTTGTCCCCCGAAACTCTGATATAAAGAACCCCCTGTCAGTTCCCATTTTTCAGATTTCAACAATCAGGCCAGGGTCAGAGGTGGCTTTTGATCTGGGGTACCTACCCCTCACGGTCCCCTCATGCCTCCAGAAGTGATACAGAGGGTGCAGAGCCCCCCTCCACTATGTCGGCCCTCCGTTTCCATGGACCAGGCACCCATCGAGTGCATCAAGCTGATGACACAGTGCTGGGCAGAGCAGCCAGAACTTCGGCCCTCCATGGACCGCACCTTTGACCTGGTCAGGGGCTGGGGCTGGGCAAGGGTTGGACTGGTTCTTGGGATCCCAGATGTCAGAGGCTGAACTGTCAGTTCCTAGCTGAGATCAACTACCTCTGGGAGCTGTCATTTGCCATTTGCCTCTAAAAACACAATACCAAGCATCCCAGGGTGCTTGATGATTAGAAGATAAATGGGGGGGGGATCAGAAATACATCCCCACAAGGCGGCCCTTATCAGGACTGTGGCAGCCCAGATCTTCTGCACCTTTACCAGCTTCTGCCTTCTACCAGTTCAAGAGCATCAACAAGGGCCGGAAGATGAACATCATTGATTCGATGCTTCGAATGCTGGAGCAGTACTCCAGCAACCTGGAGGACCTAATCCGGGAGCGCACAGAAGAGCTGGAGCAGGAAAAACAAAAGACAGACCGGCTGCTCACACAGATGCTGCCTCCGTGGGTGCCAGTATGGAGAAGGGGGGGTGGAGGGGGCAGCTGGAACCCTGCCAGAGAGGGGTAGCCTTCATATGATCCCAATGCCCGCTGTGCCTAGATCTGTGGCTGAGGCCCTCAAGATGGGAACACCTGTGGAGCCAGAGTACTTTGAAGAAGTGACACTGTACTTCAGTGACATCGTGGGCTTCACCACCATCTCAGCCATGAGCGAGCCTATCGAGGTGGTGGACCTGCTCAATGACCTCTACACTCTTTTTGATGCCATCATTGGTTCCCATGATGTCTATAAGGTGCAGTGTTCAGGAGACAAGACCTCCTGACTGTTAGTTCATGTGTACCAGCCTTCAGCTCAGCTGCCCCAGGCTGTAGCCCAATCATCTTTCGCAGACCTAGTTTCTGCCTGCAGTCCCAGCTCAGTCCTGGCTTACAGCCTAGCTCCCTGGATGTCTGACATTGGACACACTTGTGTGCTAGTAGACAGGTGTGCACAGTACTGAATTGGCATAATTCCTTCCCCCCAGGTGGAGACAATTGGGGATGCCTATATGGTGGCCTCAGGGCTGCCTCAGAGGAATGGGCAGCGGCATGCTGCAGAGATTGCCAACATGTCTCTGGACATCCTCAGTGCCGTAGGCTCTTTCCGCATGCGCCATATGCCAGAGGTGCCCGTGCGCATTCGCATTGGCCTGCACTCAGGTAGCTCTTCGGCCTTCCTGGGCTCCAAATCTATCTCCCTCTCCAGGACCTGGCTCCAGATTCATACTGTTGGAGACACTGTTGAAGTGGGCAGGGAGGCTTTCCTTAAAGTAGATGCACTTAAGATATAATTGACTTGGGGTGTAAAGTACAAGCCAGATGCATCTGGCACCACCAGCTGCTAGGCACCACCAGCTTCATCCAGGCTCTGGCTGCCAGCCAACTTTGCGCATCTCCGCAGGCCCGTGTGTGGCAGGAGTGGTGGGCCTCACCATGCCTCGATACTGCCTGTTTGGAGACACAGTCAATACTGCCTCGCGCATGGAGTCCACAGGGCTGCGTGAGTGTGTGTGTGTGTGGGAGGTCTGTGTGTCAAGGAGTTGGGGCTGGGCCTGAGGGTGAAAAAATCTAGGAGGGGAACACCCCAGGGGACTCCCAGCTCATCATGCCCCCCACTGCTCCAGCTTATCGCATTCATGTGAACATGAGCACTGTGCGGATTCTCCGCGCCCTGGACCAAGGCTTCCAGATGGAGCTGCGTGGCCGCACGGAGCTGAAGGTGAGGCAGGGTCTGGCTCTCGCCCCCTCCTTGTGGAGACTCTCCCACCCCAGACCTCTTAAGTTTCCCCTCCACTGTGTCTCTCCAGGGCAAGGGCGCTGAGGACACCTACTGGCTGGTGGGCAGATTCGGCTTTAACAAGCCCCTCCCCAAACCGCCTGACCTGCAACCCGGGTGAGGGATTGACCTGAGTGACAGGCGGGGTGAAAGACCAGAGGCTGATTGGCCTCTTCATCCCTTCCCCTTCCAGCTCTGGGTCTAACTCTAGCGGGAAACAGCATTGATCTGGGCGCGCGCCCCATCCCCCCATTCCTCTTTCCTGAGGCTGCTGCCCCCTCTCCACAGGGCCAGCAACCATGGCATCAGCCTGCAAGAGATTCCCCCTGACCGGCGCCTGAAGCTGGAGAAGGCCAGGCCGGGCCAGTTTTCAGGGAAGTGAGGCCCGGACCAGCACAGGTGCTGCTCTCCCCTCAGACTCCTGGTCATACACCTCTAGGGGATGCTTCCTAAGGGACGGCGCTTCCTCAACAGCCCAAAGGCCTAGCCCTCCCTGAGAAAAGTCCCACCCATGCCGGGTGTCCTGACATGCCAGGTGTGAGTTCCTGGACCCAGGCTGGTTCCTAAGCCCAGGGATTGCCCCAGAAGGGAGGCATCTGCTGCAGGATACTGGTTTGGTAGGTCTGAAGTGGTTCAGCAGTCCAGGTTTAGGGAATTCTGTAGTTGTGATTTCCTGAGACTTCTCCCCGGACCCCATCTCTCTGCAGCATACGCTGTGCCTACTCGGATGACTCCCAAGCTGTACACTGCACAAGAGACAGAATTCTAGGGGGTAACCCTGGCCCAAGGAGAGAGTAAAAGTTGTCCCTGAAGTTTCGAGACAGAAACTCTGCCCACTATCCTTCTTTGAGAACCTCTGGCCTACAGTCCTTCCCTTTCTGGGTAACGCTCCCATGACTCCTTTCCTCCACTTCCCTCTCAGACACTCCTCTTTCTCTTAGGATTATTCTGGAAGGACGTTTTCCTGAAAGTTGCTGCTATAAGTGACCGAAAGTTGGGCTAATACTAGTGGCTTCAGTCCAGCTCTGCCTCCAGGGATTTTGAGCCTTTACAAGCACGGACTGCAAATCAGCTGTGTGGCCTTGGGAAGGTCTCACTGGATCTCCTTGGGTCCTTTTCAAGGGTGGAATGACAGGAGCCTAAATGTTTTTCATTCTCTGTAGCCTAGCCCTGCCTGCTGGGCTTCAGAATAGCTGGCCTTGGGCTATAAGACACTGTGGCATATGTGGCGACTATAGGGTCCCAAGCCCTAAAGACTCTGAACCCACCAGGATATGGTGCAGTGGAGTAGGGGTCTCTACTTTCCAGGGTCTCTCAGGGGCCCAGGAAGGGAGCTCTGAGATTGCTACCCCAGAGGAAGTGCAGGCCCTGAGTGGTCATGTGGCCAGGGGCCCCTGGAGCTTCTGTTTAGCCTGAAGACTCCCATTTCCATTGCCTCCTAGCCAGAGACTGGCTCTTTTTCTAGTGGACAAAACCAAGTCACTTTCTCAGGTGCAGAGAAAAACTTGCTCTAAGGCTTTGGAGGAGGAATAGTAAACTGCACCAACCTTTATTAACCAGAACAGTGGAAGAATAAGAGTATTCTCTGTTTAACTGGGAGCTGCTGGGCAGACAGTTGGACAGAAAATCCTCTTCGCTTAGATCTTTGCAACAACATTCAGTCCTGGCAAGCACCCCCTGAAGCTTCCTTTGTGAAGCTCTGATGCGCCAGAGCTAGACTTCAGCATATTTGCTTCTTGGTGTTCTTTGCCATTGCCACAGGCCCTGGAAGAAGTTGGTAGTGGCTGAGCACTCAGTGCGTAGTGAGTGTCCAGTTGCTGGAGACAAGCTAATAGAACCGGAGACATTACTGACAGGCTATGACAGAGGGAATTCCCAGGTGGACAGATGAAGCGAATCCCTGCTACGGGAAGTGTGGCTGGTGGAGCAGCAGCTTGAGGTGGAAACTTGTTAGAAATGCAGAATCTCAGGTCCCACCCAGACCTGCTGAACCAGAGCCTACACTATAGTAAGAGCCTTCAAAATCCCACAGAGCACAGAACTGAATGTAGGCTCTCTAGGTTGCATAATCTCTACTAGTCCATAAAAGTAACACTAGAAGGTAGCCAGTAGATTTGTTTTGTTTGGCTTATGAGGTATTTTTGTTTTGAGCTAATACTTAAAATTAATTCTAATGCAGCATATTTGAAGAGTATTTACAGTCATCTCATCCACAGGGGAGTGGTTCCAGGACTCCTGTGGATACCAAAATCCTCAGATGCTCGAGTCTCATATATAGAATGGCATAGTATCAGCATAGAGCCTATGCCCTTCTCCTGTACCCTTTAAGACATCTGTAGATTACTTAAAATACCTGACACAATGTACACGCCATGTAAATACGCGCTACAGTGTACTGTTCAGAGAACATAACAAGAAGCAAAGTGCATAACAAGAAGACTCAGTGAACCCCCTGTAGGCTTACCTACATAGCATACGATTCACAGTTGGTTGAATCTGTGGAGACAGCACCAGAGGATACTCAGGGCTGACTGGACCAAATTTGCCTCCTTTTCTGAAATCAAAAGCCTCATATGGGGCTTACATCACCCCTCAGCCACACACAGGGAGCAAATCGCTTCACTCCAAGGACTTTACACTTTGGGTCCTCACAGACCCCATGACACCGAGATTTTCGGGGCATCCCCATGTCTGACACCTACTCAGCTTAGGACTCCCAGAGCAATGGACACTAGGGTTAGGTGCTCCTGGAAATTGGGTTCTTTTCTCCCTTTCTAATTTGATTAGTGATGATTTCTTCCCCAAAATAAAAGATTTAGAAGCAGTAGCAAATGTAATGCTTAAAAGTTCTGGTTACCTAAGGTGGTGTTGCTACACTGAGCAATTTAGTGTAATTCTTAAAAAGTATTTCGAACTGCGTTCAAAGATGATGAGTTAAAGATGAAAACAAAACAAGAAAAACCTAACACGTACGTGCACCCAAATTTTTAAAAATTATTTACATTGTTAAACATCTTTAAGATTTTCTCTGAACTTAGATTCTAAGGGTTGAAGGGCAGGTTTGGCATTGGTGGTCTTGGATCCGACAATGTGGTTGTAGCTCTCAAAATTTTACTCTGCCCTCCCTGCTGCATCTGAGTTCCCTGACTCCTCCTTTCCTTCTCCTTCTATGTGGAGGGCTAGGGTGGTTAATGGTGCGTAATTCCAGGAGCCCCACAAAAGTCATCCAGGAGCAGCTGCTGGAAGACTGGTGTGGGTAGGCTCAGGGAAAGCACCTGGAAGAGGAGGAAGGTGAGCCAGGGCCTAAGTCTGGTGTGGAGTAGAGGTAGAGTAGGCAGGAAAGGCCCCTCCATACCTTTGATCTTGTCTCATTCCTGGCCAGCTGCTTGTGATCTTAAATAATGGGCTGTGATGAGGGGTGGGGGGATGGGACCCCTACTGTCTCTGTCTGTCTTTGTCTCTCTCTCTCTCCTCACAGTGTTCCCTTTCTGGTTTTTTGTTTGTTTGTTTGTTTGTTTGTTTGTTTTGTTTTGTTTTTGGCAGAGCCAAGGATTGAACTCAGGCCCTTGCGCTTAACAGGGAAGCACTTATTCTGAGCCATCTCCCCAGCCCAATGTTCCCTTTCTGCCCAGCAGTTTATCAGCCCAGTGTTCCCTTTCTGCCCAGCAGTTTATCTCTACCTTTCTCTGCAGTGTTCAATATCTCTGGGGCCCTTTTTCCCTCAGCCCAGTCAATTACCAATCTTAAAGCCCTGACTCCAGTCTCCCACCTCCCAGCCCCCTGTCACTCTTGGGGGTGGGCATCTCCCAGCCCATGAGAGCAAATGGTGTACTTACTGGCATTCCCTACCCTCCGATGTGTTTACACTCCCTCAGCCAGCTGGCCTGTGCCAGGAGCCAAGCTCACACTTGGCACTGTCTTCGCCTTTGGGATGGCTCTGTAGCTGGGGTTGGCAAAGGCCAAAGCAGGGACTTTCCACAGATGCCACTTCAATCTCACTACATGTCCTGGAACTCCCTGGCACCTTTGCTTTGTGTTGCTTCTTGGGGTCTGGGTCCTGCTCCCTGGCCCTATGTGTTGTGGACTGCAGTCACCCCTCTTTGAGGAGTTGAACTGAGCTGCTCCTCAGCAGGGATTTGTGATACTGCATCGTGGGGCTGCGCTCTCTGGGCTCCTCTGGACTTCGCACCATGGGCTCCAGGGCATGTGCTGTGGTTTGGGGATTGGGACGGTGAGGGCTGAAATAAAGATGTGCTTTCTTCCATTGTGTTGTGCGTGTTTGACCTGGAAGTGTAGTTCAGACATCTCCATCCCTGAAATGCCCAGGGAAGGTTTCAGGTAGTGGTGAACCTTAGAGATGACTTGAGCAGGAGGAGATGAATAGCAGCCTACAACCCCTAGAAGCTCCTCTGCTCTGGGGAACTACTCTGAGGACAAGGTAGGGATGTTTGGAGGCTTTTGGACTCCTGGAAATGGCTAGATTCTCTGAGGCTCTGGAAACAGGTGGCACGGCTTCATCCTTTTGTCACAAGTGGGAGAGAAGAAAATAGGGCAGAATTTGACTATGACTGTGACCCATGACCCACAGAAGCTATCACGTGACACTGAAGTTGAGGTAGAGAAGATAGAGGTAGAGAAGGTGGGGTCCAACTGGCTCTGTTTATAACCTGAGCTATACCTGCAGTCCTCAAGAGCTGCCCCTGGGGATTAAAGAAGGACAGACAACCCAGAGTCACCAGAGGGTGATGAGCTCGTAGATCTTGGGCCCAGCTATGCCAGTCCCAAGCACAATGATGGAACTCAGGACCTTGCGCTTGCCAGGCAAGCACTTATTCTACTGAGCAATAGCTCTGATACTTTGTATCCCTGACCCTGCTCTGGTAATTTATAATGGAGATCAGTTGTCACAGCTGATCTCTGACTGGGTGGCAACCAAACATCCATACCTCATTCTGTCTCCACTGAACAGGGTGGAACTCTCGACTCCCCATTCCAGCCTGGCCAAATGGGATTACTTCAAGGACAGGCAGGTGACCTGACCTGGGCAGATGATACTCAGAGCTGAGGTGTTACATGAAGATACAAGAAGCATTTCTCCCTTCCCACCTCCATCACTTTTTTTTCCTGTCATGGTACCGGGATTGAACCCAGAGCCCTTGCACTGAACTACATCTGTTGCATTTTTTGTTTGGTTGGTTTTGTTTTCTGAGAAATGGTCTCTCTAATTTGCCTGGGTTGGGTTTGAATATGTGCTCCTGCTGCCTCAGCCTCCCAGAGTGCTGGGATTTCAGGAATGTGCTATCATGCTTGGCTAGCAGTTGTCTTTTTCTCTGGGGATGTCGAGCATTGCTAAACATTGGACACTCTTGCCCCTCCAGAAAC